ATATATATATATATATATATATATATATATATATATATATATATCTTCTTCGATTATTCTTTTATACTACACACAAACACTAACAATACATGCGCGTGCACGCACGCGCGCGTAATCAGTGTTTAAGGTCACAGGATACCACGTCGAGCGCACTAATCCTTCAACTTATAGGTTCTTGAACGTAATAGCGGTCCAAGAAACGCGTGTACGTGCCAATAGCGAACAAGTCGAGTCCGTTAGATAAGCGAGCCGCGGTCTCGCAGCCAAGGAGGTCTTACCTTTAAAGAAGAAAAAAAAAACAAATGCAAAGCGAAATAAGAGAGATATATATACACAATTATTTTTTGTAACCGATCCTAATTCGTAAAATCGGGCTGTTTAACGGGTCCGCGTGATTATACCGTGTAAGCTTATACTATTGTATATCTCGTATGTAATACATACACCGTCACGAGTCTATGAAAATTTCTAGAAGGTCAGAAGCCACTATATTTTGTGTGCGTGCGTATAGCCTGCGCGTTATATCGTACAGCTTTAATGAGCTCTAGTCTGGAAGAATCTTCTCACCGTAATGTGCAATCATGTATTCGCGCGAAATCGACAACATTGTAAGATACTGTACCTAATATGGTAAGAATGTCTGTCCGAAATAAAGACACGAAATATTTATTCACGTACACACTCAAGACAGTCTACATTCCGCGCGTCGGTCCCTTTCAACGTTTTAAGCGTTAAATGTGACATTGAAAAATTTCCTATAGACTTCCGAAAGAGAGTTCGCTCGATCATCGAGATTTTTTTCTTGCTTTGAAAAATAAATCATCTTACAAACACGAAATCAAACAATTACTTCAAAGATACGCTTGGAGAAGAAATTTGTAGAAAATGAAACAACAAGTAATCATGCAAAATTCGGTCTAGATCGGTCAAAGGATTTAGGAGTTTATAGGGAATAGGCATTCTGTTCTATACATATAGATAAGAAAGTATGTTATTAATACTCAGTGAATAAGTATTTCTTAGATATTTTTTCTCTCAGTGGACGACTATGGTAAATAGTTTAATTGAACACGGCATGTTGCCGTTATTAAAAAAAAAGAATTTCTCAAAAAAATGGCTAAAGATCCGGCGAGCTTGTGCAAGTCCCTAATGCGAGACTCGAGCACATGGAAGTTTGAATCTATAATTCTGTGTTCTTATTTTTCGAGTTACTGTTGTTCGGTAATATCGGGAGTAATCACGCTTGCTCTCTCTTGATTGCTTTCTTGAATCGTTCTGTGCGTTTCTAGTATATCTTGAGGTAAAATGCGTATTATTGTTCTTAACATTCTTCTCGAGCTTAATATGTCGATTGACTAAATATTAAAATCAATTGAAAACCAACATATCAAAAATCGATTATGCAAACGATCCAACAGCACTTGCGGAGTAATGGGAACTCTGCAAGAGAAATAGACACGTTTAAAGAAATCCGCAGTAATTCTAATGAATTATTTATATTCAGAGACGAGAGAAGTGCGTTAGGGAGAATCGCGTGAAACTCTAAGTTAAATGACATCCGATTGGATCGAATTGTCCGCTCGGATCGATTCAATTCTCCTCACCGATTATCCATTAGTAAATGACTCGCGATAAAAAATCCCCGAAGTTCCGCGATCGTTAAACGCTTTCGGCGGATCGACCATGGTTAACAAGGTAAAAAGCAAAATTAGGATATCGCGGCGATAAAGCGCTACTTGTCGCCTGGCGACGATAAGAGATGGCAGGTGTAAACGCACGAGTGAGAAATCAATATAAACGGGATTCGCGCGGGGGCAGCCCGGCGGTAGGCAGCCAGAGGAGAGCGGGGTGACCGAGGAAAGGTGAACGAAGGGCGGTAAAACATCCCCCATGAGAGAGGCGGCCGCCGAAAGCCGTTTGCAGCAACGTTTCAGCGGCCACGCTGGCGAAAACGGCTGGCGAAAATGCCGTAGTTCCGCAACGGAGCCGACCAGCAGTAAGATCCAGTGAGGCCTCTGCTTCCTCTCCACCTCGGCCCTGGCTAATCTCTCCTCTCGCCCACCCTCCGCCGTCTTGACATCTCTCCGGCGGCCCTCGCAGCAATCGCTGCCCTCGACTCTCGCGTGTTCCGCCCTCAATGGTGAATCAATAATTAAGGTGACAGTGCAGTGGTTGCGCGATCGTGTGCCGGGCCAAGATGTCGGTGAAGGTGAGTCCTCGGATATGCATCCGCGATAGGCGATGAGTCGCGTACACGCGACGAGCGTTCCTCGATGACGTGGTTCAACGACACGCCGCGAATGTCCCGGTCGACCGGTCGACGTAGTCGTAGCCACGGTCGAGAGTTCCGAATCGACTCGCGAAAACGTTTCTGTCTACGTTCCGTTGGAAATATCATTGTTATGTAACGTTATGTATGATTTTAATCGACTTATTCTTCCCAGGACTTAGGAAGCGCCGGGCCCGCTTTCGTACGTTCATACGAGCGACGGATGTTCGTGTAAACCCTCGCTTCAGCGCCTCGTGGCTCTAATAACGCTTAATTAGTCCACCGTTGTTGAGAGAGAGTGAGAGAGAGAGAGAGAGAGAGAGAGAGAGAGAGAGAAACTGTAGGTCATGGCTCGTGCCAACGAGTGGATCGAATTACGCGTACGATTTTACTTTGCTCCGTAGGAACGCGCGTTTAATTCGTGTAACTGCAATGTAACTGAAAAACTGAATTCGTGTAACTGAAAAAAATAGTTTTGCAATTATAGTGAAAATATTCTAAATACGAGAAATTAACTAAAATATATATAAGTGACTAGCAAACTGTAATATCGCGTATGTGATATAAATATATATCCCTATTGAATCAATATAAATGACAGAGAGATAGAATTTCTGTCTGAATTGTTTTTGAAATTTAATAAGGAAGTCTCTTCCATGGCGCCCATTTAGAACCAATCTCACATTTCTCTAAAATTGACTGTAGTAGACAGAAAAGACTAGCGAAGAGAGACAGACGTGTAATTTTCACGTGTAAATTTGCTTGCAGACATTGCTAGAATTACTATTGACGTAAATTCTAGTTGCTATGAACAATTTTCTGGCAGATACAAGGAAGAGCGGTAAATTTTAATTGTGACATTTATAATTTTACCTGGGAAAAACGTTCTTTTGAGCGATTTGTTGAAATGGTGGTGCTGTGTACTTATTCTGTAACTTTTAACGACAATATCGTTGTCGTTGAACGTCGTCACGTAGCTATGATGTTACATGTTATATCTGCATGGCGATGTGTAGCGCACGCGTTAGAGTTACACGGTAGAGAGACTTCAATTTGTGCAACTGAATGAAAATCAGACGAGAAATTCGCTGACGAGAAATAACATCTCTGTGACCGAAAACATTCGACTGAGCGCTCAGCTGCATTCAAAGTTGCTCGGTTGAAATAACTGAGAGCAATTTGCTGAGCAGAAATCTTCTACGGAAAACTCTGTTCCTACAAATAGTTTTTCATCTGGTTTCCTGATAGTAGAAAACTCAGTTGCGCTAAAAGTTTGTTTTTTTTGTGTACAACTGTGTAAAACCGTATATAATATAACTGTGTGTATAAATTTCGTATAAGGCAAGACAAAGTTTTTGGTCTTTTCTGATCCATATGTATCAAATATCTGCAAAATTCCGAGTAAAAAATTATAGATTTTTCCAATAATGTCATAGAATTTTAACAGAACTTGATATACAATAAATAAATTGATTTATTTTAATTGATATACAATAAATAAATAGATTTATTTTAATTGGAATATTTTAAATTTTAAATTAGTAAAATTTTAATTAAATTGTTGTGTGTAAATTTTAATTTGAGACACTATGTAGTATACTGGCCAGAAATATTCTGAAATAATATATTGTGCGCCGATACATTCGCGCCTCGTTATATGCAACCTGCGTGCATGCAGCCCGGTGCAATCCGCGTGCCGAGAAAGCGCGCTCCGTTCGCGAAGATGCGAATTCTCTCTTTGGGATGAGTTAATTTTTCTCTTTCTCTTTGTCAAAAGATTGCTAAGTACAACTGACTCAAAGCGTCCTGCCTTCATGAGAGAAATACAGTTATGTCTGTCAAGAAATTGCACGAAAATGCACGACGAAATTATAAATTTCTAAACCTCAGAACATAGATAAAATTTACCCAGACAAACCTTTCAAACATTGCTATTTTCAAAAAAGAATATGTTTTTTTATTATTATAGCTTTTTCAACTTCATTAAACCATAAAAACATTGATAGATTTTATATCCTCCGATGTTTTCTATATTGACTGAAAGAAAAAAAGGATTGAATTCCGATAATTTTTCTAAAAATGTGAGCAAGTAAAAATGCGTTGGGTAAAATTTATCTGTAATTAGAGTTTACGTAACTTCTTGATATTTCAGGATCAAAGAACCCCGATTTTTATTCGGCAAACGATATTTTCCGAGCCGTTAACAAGCTACTTTTTTCAAACGGCACTGAGAGCCTCAAAGTATCTTCAGTCTTCTCTCTTCTCATGAGATGCCCGGTGCAGTCGACTAATCGTGACGCGCGCTGCGACATCCACGGGTCGTTTCAGCCGCGCGCAACGTCGTGCGCGCTCCGTGCGCGCTTCCTGTTGCTCTTCTTACGGCGAGTGCTCTCGCGATGCCGGTACGCAGTCTGCCGCCGCGTCGAGCCGCGAAATATTTTAATGGTAATAACGGCGACCACAAGTGTTCGCTTCCTGCTGAAGCGAACACTTCAGCGAAGATAAAAGCGAGGGGCCCGCGAAAGACACGCGTGCGCGCGGCGCGGCACAACGCGCGCGCTTTTTGGCGCGCCGCGCACACGGCGCGGCGCGTGCAGGCGGGCGATTTCAGTTTGCGCGTCGCCTCGTCGCCGATTGGACTCTATTTCCGCGGAGATCGGAGCGAGTGCGAGATAGAGGCGCGACTCGACCCGTGAGAGCGCACCTATTCCACGGCTGCGGCCCTCAAAAGGGACATTTCGGCCTGACGGCCATCGTGCATCTCTGGACGGTTCTTAATTAAAGACCTATTCAATTAGAAGGTCCGTTGATTACGTGATATTCTTGTGGTAATAATTCGCAATTGCGCAGCGGTCTACTCACACCCGAGAGGTGCTTTAGTGCGTCGCGTGTTACGTATTCCTCGAATGAGAACGTTTAGCTGAGAATGACAGACTGCCAATGCACTGTACAAGTGTTATTTGATGTATTATTGCGAATATCGCGCGCGAACGCGCAAAAATTAAGAAGATCCAAGTGATTCAAGTGATTGACGCGTTTGCGTATTAATAAAATTCATTGCAAATGTAATTTTGCGCTGAAAGTGGTTGATAAATACTTGATAAATATCACTGTTTGGACATCAAACCTCGCGGTTTTTGCGGTTTCCTGTTAATTCGTTAAAAACGCTTACGCGGAATGTCTTTCCGGTACTCTTTGAGTATCTTCTTTATACGCTCTTTCTCTCTTTCTCTCTTTCTCTCTCTCTGTCTCTCTCTCTCTCTTTTTTCTGCTTTTAAGCAGAACGGTGAAATTTTTCCTCGCGTAAAATTCGGATGAGAGATTCGCTTTACACGTGTTACACAACAGACGGACAGAAGAAGGCAACGAACGGAGAAATGGGAGAGATAGAGGAAAAAGCAGCTATTACGACGTTGGCGGTCCGAAGCACGTGCGATGTATTTATAAATCTGTCATCCACTTCAGTTCACGCGCGATGACGTGAATGTTATCAGGGAATCTCGTCTTGAGCGAAGGCTACGGTGAAATGCGTCAATACGCACACTTTGACAGACGCAGTCTGAGACCAGCGCGTTCACGTGCCTCATCTGGGTGTGATACGGGCACATACCGACCGCAATAACATCCTATACGATGTGTTTCCGCGTTTCCTATTAAACGTCAAGTAAGATATACGCGGATGCCCGCAACTGATAAGCGACGCGACGCGAGGCTTCAGCGTTGAATAATAAACGGCTGTGGTTGTGCTCTGATATCACCGGAACGAGCGCCTTCGTCGCGTCGCTCAGTTTAGAGTCGCTCAGAGTCGAGAGCGACGTATTTTTAGTACGTTCTAAAACGGTAGCGCTGCTGAGATTCGGCAAATTTTCGCACAGTGAATTTAACGACTCTCGACAAGACAAGCCGCGACGAAAGCCAGTCGTCGCTGCGACGGAGATCGGCCTTACGAAGTGTGCACTGCGATTTTTGGTTCGGAAAATCGCGACTCCTAGAGTCGAAGCCAGTTTCCTGCGACTTTCCCGCTCGGTTTTCAATTCAAACAGAAAAGTCGTCGAAAGACGATGTCAGAGGAGTGAGAGCGATTTCGCGCTACGACCGTTGGCACGTCGGGTGTGCTCACTGGCGAATAATTCGCGAATTAGATTAAATTAGAAAATTGGAAACGATAGCTCTCTCGTTACTGTGAACTCCTCCGCAGATTTAATTGCGACGCGCGCTCAATGAATTCGGTTTTCACGTGTCAGCGCGTCGCGGCGCGGGAAGAACGTTCTTTTATGCGACAGAGAGTGCCGGCATCGTGTCTCAACTGTGTTTGAATTGGGATCATTGCGTCAATTATATTTCCGCTCGCGGCGCGTTGTGTTACAAAAACAAATGCTCGGGACGCGACCGATGATCGGCGAGGTACAAGTGTAGAGCGCGTCATTCGCAGGAAATCCCCGTGCTCTGCGAATAATCTTCCGCGGTAAGTGTTTTCGCGATCCCGTGTTATTCTCTTGGTTTTCGCGCGCTGAAATAAGTCAAGTACTTGAAAACGGGTCTGGATCGTGTCGAGGTTCTGAAATCACCTTACTTCTTTTATTTCTACATTTTCCGGAGAATTTCTCATCTTCGCAGGTCAGAGTCGCTTTATGCTCGCCTTTGCTGTGTTAACGATCCGAGAAAATTATGCGCGTTACGTAAAAGTGTCGTACATCATCACGCTGCGATATCGTATTCTGAGCAGTTTTTTATGTTAATGTCGTAAATAATTCCGCAGGTGAGGACTGACGTATCTCACACAAAAGCAATTCAAACGTAACGTTAGCAACGTCTGCAACGCGGACGATGAAGCTATGAATAAGACGATTAAGACACACACGCGGCGGAACGCGCTGCAGAGCAACGCGACTTGAATTAATGGTAGCTATGGTAAAGAGAAAATGTTAATGTAATTGAATAATCTTCACGCTGAGATTAATTAAAATGCAGAATTTCGCCTTGTGGAAAGAAGTATCGCGATAAGTTCTCCGTCTCTTATCATTACGTAAGCACTTATGCACGTGGCCTCTGCTATTGAAGAATCACGCGTGTTATCGCACGCAATTTTAAAACAAAATATTAAGTATTAAGCTGCGAGTAAGCAATTTGGAAATTGTAGAACCCAAAAGTATCATAAAACTTCGCTAAAGAAAGCTTCGATTCTGTGCAATAAGCAAACCGAATTTTCGTTTTAATATAATATCCATGGCAAAAAAGAAGAAATTTGAAAAAAAAGTTTACGGGCGTGCTATGAAACAAATATACATCACGAGGACAACAGCTAGCATGAGAACTCTCCTTTATTAAGCATTAAATGAAAATTATTATTGTTACTTTTAATTAGTTCTTTGTTTCTACTCAGTCTCTTACAGCATACAGAGTGAAATAAGCACGCGAGTGCGTGTCCTAAAAGTACCGCACTTTGTTAATAAGTTTTCTCATAAAAGGGAGACACACCTTTATACGATGAACAATTTCATTTCATTAATTGTCATCCGCCGTAATCTATAAATCTTAAATAATAAATAGCTCTCTCTCCTCCATATAAATTCTATATGTCTCTCACATTTGATTATTGAATTACAGTATTGTGAATTATTAATTGTTTAATTAATAAATTAATTATTAATTTCGCATGTTTAATGTATGCCTTTCATTAACGTGTAAATATACTCGTGATGTGTGCTATAAATTACCGCATTAATGGTTTCTCTCTGCGTACTGAATAAGTAATTGACATTCATTCTCTGATATTTGTGCGTATCCATTGCTATTTCGACGATAATGAGAATGTCGAGACACAGAATGAAAATAAATCTGCGTTTTCCCGTTATCATCAATGACAATGACAAGAATCGCAGCAAATTGTGCACTCTAATCGTGAGGACATCGCGTTCAAATATTTTCGGCGCGCCCAGCGAAATTATTGCGATTGCGCTTACCAGCGATTTATAACTGACTAATTGTCTTATCTCGGTCAAACACGAGACACGCCTCGCTGCTGTTTTTATCTATGTTTGTAAGAGCCGTAATCGTCATAGGATAAAGAAAATATTGAACATTTACGTGGGTATTCGTCGCGCGAGATATCTTTTTCACTTACGACACTCGTGCTTGCCCGTCGTCCGCTAAATTCCGCCAGCTGTCCGTGTGTGCCGAATCTCTTAATATACGTCATGACTTAATATAAGTCATAGCTTAATATAAGTTTCCACGACGCCATACGCCAGCCGTAAAGACGAAATTCTTTATTTATTATCGTAACTTTGCGCGACCCGACGTATCGACGAGCCGCACACGTGCGAAGTCGCCAGCTGTAAACGTCCGTTGTAAATACCGCCTCGAGTCTGTTTTGTGCGCACGTCTCTATTACCTCTGTATGTTGTTCAGATGACGAGGTACAAACCGGCCGAATTCGAGGATGAGGAGAGCAGCAGCATCGGCTCGGTTACCTTAAATAGCGAAGGTATCAGCACATCCGCCACGCATATAAGATATCACTCGGTGAGTTTTCCCAATTGCGCTGGTATTAATAACGTTTTCGGATAAAAAGCAGATTAGCGACTGCCACGAACAGAAAAAATATTCCCCGCTTTCGTAAGTTTGCGTGTTCAACCAGAAATATTTGTGCAACTTTATTCACGTAGAGAGAGAAAAATATCATTCTGCAGCAAAGTGATTACTTTTCTTTTTTTAAGTAATAGTAACCTTTAACAAACAATATTTTTTATCATAACCTTAAAATATACTCATGATTAATTTTAGAAGAGTTTATTATAATGCAATTACATTGAAAAAAATACTTAACAATTTATTTTTCTGTGAATAAATTTTGTATTCCACAAATAAATTTTCAAGTATCTTTTTCTTAACGCAAAAGTGGAATTTATAGTATCTTTAAGAATATTATAAAATTTGTTGAAGAAAAGTTGGTTTCGTTCTATGCAGTAAGCAAATCAAATTTTTGTTTTAACTTCATATTCTTGAGTGGATGCTCTAGGACTTCATATTCTTGAGTGGAGGCTCCAGGGAAATATGTTAAAATTCGGAATATATTTTGAATAAATTTGATGCTTATGATTCACGATATATAAATTTATGAAATACCTGAAACACGTAACATTTACTTGAATGCAGTATGCATCTCTTTGCACGTAGCAAATATTCTCTAGAAAGAAGAGAATAATTCATCACTGAAATATCTTTTTACTTCTCATTCTTGGAAATAATTTTTTTTATTAAGTTCTAATTAGGCTTTATAACAACGTCGTGGTTATCGCCTCATCTTTTGCTATAATATAATCTTTTAGTTTGCTTTTTCTCTTTCTTATCTATCATTACTTATCTATCATTACTTATCTATCATTGCATCAACCGCATTCAATGAAGTCACTATTATTATTATTATGAATACTTGATGAAAGTTATTCATGTTCAAAGACGCGACCTCTAAATTACGATTGCGTAACGCGGCGGTTCCACGATGATAACGATCGTAGGTCACCGTCTGCTCTTATCAATCGATACGTTCCCGTTGTTTCAGGCTCCCACGCTATGGAAAGCGAGGAGTACTTTAGAGAGATGTCTTTTAATAATTTGCACTACTTTGCTATTAATAGTCTTCATACTAATCAGCGTGATCAGCCACAAGCCTCGCTGGGACGAGGCGCAGATTCTCCACGTCACCTCTCACGGAGAAGGTAAGAGGACGTTCGACAATCACTCTTTCCTCTCTCTGATACTTGACGCAAGTGAAAAAGACAAATAAAAAAAAAGAAAGAGATCGATGCACCTTGCCGACGCGCGACGATAGAAAATTCGCACGATCTCTCGCTTCTGACGCCGTAATTCGCCACGATTGCAACGAGGAAAAAGAAGTGTTAAACATTGTTGCAGACGGCACACATTGCCTCACGGAGCACTGCGTGACGGTGGCAGCGTCCATAATCAATAGAATAGATTACTCCGTTGACCCTTGCGACGACTTCTACGAGTACGCGTGCGGCGGTTGGCGCAAGAAAAATCCCATCCCGGACGGCAAGAGCGTTTGGGGCACGTTCGGCAAGCTGGAGCAGGATAATCAGCTGGTAGTCAAAAATGTCCTCGGTAAATATTGAACGTGGGCGCGCTCGCGATCGTGGATCGAGCGAGAAACGAGTACGATGTAGAAACGGTATACGTATAAGTGACGTTCAATCTTGCTTCTCTTTTGCTTCTCTATTGCCGCCGCGCAGAGAAACCGTTCAGCGAGATGAAGTCGAAGGCCGAGAAGAAGGCGAAGTATTACTATATGTCCTGCATGGACGCAAACGAGACGATCGAGACTCTCGGCACCAAGCCGATGATGGAGCTGCTCCAGAGTATCGGCGGATGGAACATCTCCGGGAAGTTCAACGTGAGCACGTGGTCCTTGCAGAACAGCATGCATATTCTGCAGAACGTTTACAACATGGGCGGCCTCTTCTCCTGGGCCGTGAACGAGGATGACCGCAACAGCAGTAGATACATAATCCAAGTAAGTAGATTGTGACGGATTTGACAGAGAAAGAGAGAGAGAGAGAGAACGCGACGTCCTTCGTTGCGTCATTAGCCGTCGACGATAAGTCGATTACTTTTGATTTTATTGAACGCCTGTTATTAAATCTAATATTATTATTATTGAATATTTTCGAGCACTACTGATACGCGACCGCAATCTTCGAGGTAACACCATTGAGCTCTACTAATCAAGCGTGTGTCATTTAAATCGCACAGTAAGAGTTGTTTCGATTCGCGCTCGCATTCAATTCGATCTGATTCGTTTAACCCGCGAACGTGTGCCGCGCGCGTGCGAGAGCCGTCAATTCAATTCGCACTCGATGGGACTGTGTCTAAGTTGGAAGTTTGTTTATCATAAATTGCTATTTTCTTTTCTGGCGAACAATCATCTTCGATACTGTGACATTGTTAGATTAGATACAGGCAGACTCGATTATGCGCAATATTGAGACTAGTTTCGATTTTCAAGATCGACCAGGGAGGCCTGACGCTGCCAACCGCGGACAATTACCTTAACGTAACCGAGCACAGTAAAGTCTTGGCTGCTTACTTGGACTACATGACAAGGGTAAAGTAGTAACCGCGCTTATGCGCGTTTATTTCCGATTTCAACGCGATGTGCGACACAATCACGAACGAATCGAGTAGAGATACTCGTATCCCTTTGCAGATCGGCGTGCTCTTAGGTGGTGAAGAGAACAGCACGAGGAAACAAATGCAAGACATAATTGACTTTGAGACAAAGCTCGCGGAGATCACCACACCACCGGAGGAACGCAGGGACGAGGAGAAGCTCTACAATCTGATGTCTTTGAACGAATTGCAACGTAAAGCACCTTTTGTACGTTTGACGTCTCTTACTTGATCGAGCGTCTCTGTCGAAGTGTCCTGTATTTCGAAATTACAACTATGTGGCAAAGAAATTTGAGTAAGCTGAAAGTACCAATACTCGGACACGTATCTAATCCTGAACATTCTTATTGTTTAAAGACCAAAGCAATTAGAAGATCCGGGATTAGATATGTGTTCGAGAATTTTACTTTTGCTTTACTGAGTGTTCTCGAGTTTCAAAGCATTTTCCCGACCAGAATGATTAAATAAACGTTCGTGATGCGTGATTTTTATGTCTAGATGTCGTGGGTGGATTATTTCCAAAACGCAACGCGCCTCGTGAACAAGAAGATCAACAGCAAAGCGCAGATCATCAACTACGCGCCGGAATATTTTGCGAAATTAACGAAGCTCGTGCAGGAGTATAACAAGACGACTAACGGGAAAATGTACGTATACCATATGAGATATATATCAGAGGTGATGTGCTTTGATCCCTAGAGTCGAGAAAGTCGAAAGAGAATCCTAGAACAAAGCAACCAGTCTCAGAAACTTTCGAAAAACTCTTCGAAGATCTTTCGAAGATCCGAGAGGTCGGAGAAAATGATCAATCTTTTCCTCTACCTTTTCTTTCCGCAGAATACTGAATAACTATCTGGTTTGGCAGACCGTGAGGTCCTTGACGGGGTGCCTGTCGAAGCCGTTCCGCGACGCTTACAAGGGCCTGCGGAAAGCCCTAATCGGTTCGGAGGGTAATGAGGAGCAGTGGCGTTACTGCGTTAGCGATGTAAATAACGTCATGGGTTTCGCGATCGGCGCGATGTTCGTCAGAGAGGTGTTTCACGGCAAGAGTAAACCGATGGTTAGTTCGCAATGATATCGCGAAACCTGTCGTGAAGCGAACGATGGCGGCCGTTTTAGGAGGCGCGCCGTGGCTTTAAGAGAGTATTCTGCTTGAAAGGTCGCACAAAAAGATATTTTTCCGGAATTTTTTATAGGGGAGCAAAAAAATCGAACAATATCCAACTTTGTATATTCTTTTAATCATATCCTAAGAATATATTTTTATTATTAAAGGTGACAGAAACACTCTTTTTTTGTATGTTATATCCTGGTCACTCGCAAAAAAACGCATACAGACGGTGTAAGTGATTATGGTTGTCCTAGATATATCAAAAAATAAATTTCATAAAATTTTCTTATTTAGGAGAAGTGTAGCTATTGTCTGAACTGGAACAAACATATATTTACTAGCTTTTCTTCTTTTTTATAAGACACTAACAGCATCTTAAAGAAAGACTAACATTTTTAAGAAAGACTAACAAAAAGCCCGCTATTTTGTCCGGAATAGTAATATTAATTCTAGTTCAAATTATAGCTACACTTCTCCTGAATAAGAAAATTCTTGACTTTTGCGTTTCCTATATATACCCAGAATAGCTAAAACCATTCACACCGCCCGTATACATTTTTTCGCAAACTTTTAATAGCCAGGATATAACATACAAAAGGAGTGTTTTTGTTATATAGACAATAAAAATATATCTTAAAAATAAAACTTAAAAGATATATAAAGTTTGATGTTATACGATTTCTTCGTTTCCTTGTAAAAAATGTCGAAAATATAGCTTTTTTACGACCTTTCAGATTAGAATATTCCCTTGAGAAAATCCAACTTTCCATCGCGGTCGCCTCTCCCGCTGTCTCTAATCTTTCATCATTGTTTTCAGGCGGAAGAGATGATCGACTTGATTCGCAAGGCGTTCACGAATAACCTGGTGGACCTCGACTGGATGGACGCGGAGACGAGAAACTCCGCCGAGGAGAAGGCGAACGCGATCACCGACATGATCGGCTTCCCGGACTTCATCCTGCGACCCAGCGAACTCGACGAGCGTTATCGCGATCTAACTATCAAGCAGTACGAGTACTTCCAGAATAATCTGCGCGTAAATAAGTTCAATTTACGCAAGAACCTCGAGAAGCTCGATCAGGTGGTGAATAAGAGCTCTTGGATAATGACGCCGCCGACCGTGAACGCTTATTATACGCCTACCAAGAATCAAATCGTCTTCCCCGCCGGCATTCTCCAGAGCCCGTTCTACGACATAGACAATCCCAATAGTCTGAACTTCGGCGGCATCGGAGTGGTCATGGGACACGAACTGACCCATGCCTTCGACGATCAAGGTGACGTGATTTGCGCACGATTTTAAAGATAGAGTAAAAATTGAAATATCCAAGCCTCCCCATGCTTTCGTAATTTCACTGTTCGAGAGTATTGCTCGAGTATTACTCGCTCGCATTCGTTCGTCCTGTTAGCGCAACTACTATATTTTTTCTAGTAACATATTGGATTCGAACAGGTCGAGAGTACGATTTACACGGGAACCTGCATCGGTGGTGGAACGACGCTACGATAGAGAAGTTTAAAAGTAGAACCGAGTGTTTCGTGGAGCAATATGACACATACGAAGTACAAGGTCGACACGTTAACGGCCGACAGACATTGGGTAATACGATTTGGTTATTAATAATCGCTCTCTCGCGGATATGTGCGCGACGCGGAATTGCGCCGGTGGGTATCGATTGATCGCACGTTGTACGCACACGCAGGAGAGAATATCGCCGACAACGGGGGCCTTAAGGCGGCATTTCACGCTTACCGGGCGATGCCTAAAAGCTACAAGGATCAACTGCCTCTGCCTGGTCTTAACTTAACGCATCGTCAACTGTTTTTCTTGAATTTCGCACAGGTAAGCATAATTATGGGCGAGCGGAATTTTTAGTTACCCGACAATATATATATATATATATATATATATATATATATATATATATACGATATGTGGGATTTAAATCTCGTTTTTATAAAGCAATTGCGTACGTTATTTAACAAAATTGAAATATTGACACGATGAAATATGATAAAATTTAAAACGATCAATGACGAATAACTAACATCGAAAAGAGAATATAAATTGTAAATAATAATCAGGAGGAATGATGGACTGATAAAAACTGTCATTGGATGTGAATGCGATAATTTAAATTCTGGCAGGAGTATAAAATTAATCAACATTTAATATACATGCTAGTCTTATTTTTCCGATTTTCAATGTGTGAGATATTGCATGGCTACTTATGAAGTTGACCTTTTATCTCGCAAATAATATTTCCAATATTAATTGATCATAATTATGCAAGAATAATCTAATTCATAAAATTATTATTTTTAAGTTTTTGTCACCAATAGCCCATATGTCTTTCTACGGAAAAAAAAACGAATAAAACGAATAAATAAGATTCAAGCCTTATGAGTGCTTAAAATTTTAGCTTGTCAAACTAAACATTTAGCTTGACAAGCTTCATTAAAAATTAAGCTTGTTAATGAACGCCCTTAAAGAGAACAAAATTAACTATGCTTAACTTCTTGAACAATTGCGAAGAATCTCAGTGCTGTCTGTATTGTTTAAATTATGTATCAAATTTCAAAATTCATTTTTCTTGAAACGTACTTTGCATGTGGGTGAGATCATTCTTGCATAATTATGATTAATTATTCTCCTCTAAAGTACAGAAAACTTTACAGAAATTTCACGTTGCAAGAAACTACTGCCTCTGTCAGGCATTTTGCAGTATAATGTGCGTTAACGATTTCGTCCTCTTGCTAAGGTTTAAATTATCAATTAATTATCAAACAAGAATTATATTCTTCCGCTGAAATTTAACTTATCAATACCTGTCGACAGGATTCTTATTGTTCCATTATTTCTATTGGTTGTTTGCCTTCAGAGCCTTCAATATCTTTCCTCAAGCATAAATAATAGTCGCAAAATTCTTCTTCTAACTGAAACACCATGTGCATGTGATAGGCAAATCATAAAAATCACACGAGAGACATTTGCAGGTCTGGTGCTCTGCTATAACACCCGAGGCAGTGACTTTGCAGATCGAGAAGGATTCTCACACTCCGCCGAAGTACAGGGTGATAGGACCGCTTTCGAATCTGCCGGAGTTCGCGGCGGAATTCAACTGCCCCAAGAATTCCAAGATGAACCCGGTTCGCAAGTGTGAGGTGTGGTAACGCCTCATGTCTTTTCTGACTGATTGATCGACCGAGTTCGATTGCACCCGCGGTTTCCAATATCGCGATGCGATCGTTGGAACTTCTACGTGCCGTTTGCGTGATGAAAGACACGTTGTGAAAGTCACGAGACTTACTTCGGGCATCGGACTGTGCATTTTTTAATTTCCACATATCATTACTTTTCGTACGAGGACGGTTATTTTGTGTTGAACCATCGTGAGATTAGTAAAGTCATTTTTGAACGCGCACGTATACGCGCTGACGAAAGTCATCAAAGGGAAATGCAAAGAAGGAAATTTCCGCATCTCCTTTCGGCTTAGTTGAAATTAAGTTCATCATCTGTAGCTGATAATTTTGGGACACTCTTTAATATCCCACGACCGACCTAAGACTGTTTTAAGGTCGCTTTGGAGACCAACAATAATTATTTTTCGAAGAGACCTTGTCTGTGAATTATTTCTTTCTGCAGAATTGAACATTGAAATGAAACCAATGAAACTAAAGAATTTTTCTCCGACAAATGGCGAGTTAGTTAGAACATGTAAAATTTGCGAGATTTGCAGGAATTTGCGAGATTTGCGGTGTCGAAGAATTTTTTATCCAATTGACTTACTTGTCAGTTGCTAAGCCGAGTCGCTTATTCGCGCAGGAACAAAAGTAACTTTTATAGGGTTTCGCGTCACGTACGACAAATGTGAGAGATCCGAAGCACGTTGAGAAAATGTACGAAAACAAACAAAAAAAAAAAAAAGAGAATGAGTTACTTGTACAGGCCGAATGTCTCGAGGAATTCTCTACGTGCACGAAGTTGTAATAGGAGTTGATCGAGGAGAGTTTTCATTTGCTCGACGGGAACTAGGACCAGTACATTAGCGTATTATTCCCTTCCGACTGCGTTGAGGTGTATTTGTGATCAGCACCGATTCTTTTCACACAGAGTGCCCAACTACGGCTCGTCGAGATTAACGAGAGCGTTCAGGAACGACTCGCAGCGTCGACAGCCGCTGAAGTATTCTCGATACGCGGTACATATCGTTTTTCACTTTTATATACATAGTTAAATCAGTATTACACACGTTACACTCAGTCGATTCGCAAATGTGCGCGGAGCAACGACTGAAGATGACGATACCAAAAAAAAGTGACGATCGGGTTATAGGCGAAGCACGCGGCAATTACAATTACAAGACTGTGCGCGAGCAGGCTTAATGCAAGAACAAATTTCTCACTCGCTTCGGCTTGTGGAAGTTAATTGGCCAAGGAGATAATAATAACTCGTCACGATACATATACAAACTGTCCGCAACTGTCTGTCCTCGCCGCGTTATTTGTGACGTCAGTACATTGTGATTCTCGTTGTGTTACGAGCCGTTCAAACTTATATATCCCGCAATCAACTAATCAAAAGTCGCTTCGACGCTAAGTTCCTAGACCATTTCATTGCGCTGCCGGAAGATTAATATTTAAGATTCGACTATAAATATCGTCAGTATTACCAGCCAATCAAATTGTCGAGGCGCGCGAACAGGATTGCGAGCAGTATTGCGCTGATTAGTCTACGAAATAGTTCGTTAAGCGCGAATGAGAAAATGACAGCAGGCCGAGTGAGAGGAGGAGCGACGCGAAACTCACGCGAGACCAAATTTAAGTTTTTCACAGCTGCAAAGTCACGACGGAAATTCGTATTCGAATTACCAGTATTAACGTCGGCACATGTCGTTGATACGCTGCGAGATGTTATCAATATTGTGAGAACATTACTACGCTCTCGATAATCTCGGCAGAGCGTAGCTGGAGGACAGCCGGATGCCATAGCTTCCGCAGGCAGGATTCTCCCCTTAGCTAGCATTTTAGAATTAAAGAGCTTGGTTTGTAGAAAGATATGGATGTGTGAAATTACTTATGACTGGCTGGACGGAATCCGGACGTGGAAATCGCGGCGAGGTGACGCGCGGCACAATAATGTGTTTAGCCGATATTAGGTGTTTTCTCATCGAGTGCGCTTGATTCAAGTTCTCCTGCCATTCGTCGCGTGCTCGGTACTCCACTTCATGGAGAAATGCCTGCAAGGGAACAACAACAGTCCCATTAGGAAACGCTGAGAGAAATCTATTTCGCTAAGTTTCAAGTACTCTCTCGAGAACATGATTATCAACATTTCATCTCTACAACTTCACCGAATTGGTTTTGCAATTGTTAAGTATCATGCTAACCAAAGTCTCGCCATTTGAGCGAAATTAAGCACGTTTTCTCGCGGCGATTAATCCTCCTCGATTTAGTTGAATCAGTCTATTTTTTTTTTTTTTCGTAGAGATGATAGACGCTACGTGAATAATGTGAATAAGTAAGAGTCGTCGTTGTTCGACTTTTTGATCTCACACATATCGCAGCATGGTTGGATTACGAATCTATTGCATATGTATAATTTCTTACTAATCTACACTTTCTCCTTGCTTCGAGTTGGGATAATTGTACAATAATTAATTATAAAATTTTAGCGACGAGGACTGAACAGCGTGTGTTTTTGTAAATAATGTAATTTACAGATCAGGAGACTAACGCGTTTGTTAGCTGTGGTGGCGTAGACTCTCGTTTAGAATTACCGTTGACTTTAGCGTTCTAATTAGTAGGAAATGTAAATCTCACTGCGATAGCCAGCCACGAACGTAACTCGAAGCGTTTCGTCGCGGATTTTTCGTTGTTAGATGAGAGCGCGGATCGATGGTCGACGTTTTCTCACAGAATTGCGAACGGTATCGAGACTATAGACGGATTTAGCAATCACATTCAATATCCTCTATCTCATCGCGCGGCTCACGTCATGCGTCGACCAATAGACTCCAATAGTGCTGTGAACGTGATAATACCGAGGCCCAAGTGAGTCTTGCACATCTCGAAATAAAAAGGAAAGAGAAAAATGCCAATCAAAAGCCGATCTTTTTTAACACTGTATAACGAGAGAGAAGGAAAAGTAAAGATACATATACGTGTAATGTTTTTTTATAGGAGAGAGAAAAAAAAGAAGAACAAATCGTAAATAGGCGGCGATATGTCGTGGCACGTCGCGCAAGACACACTTATTACTGAAGCACGTTAAGCCCACATAAGCGAGACATGGTATTCCCGATAATTACGGTGATAGATACCCGTAGGACAAAGCAGGAGGATAAAACGATCAATAGTAATAGCTAATCGGTTACGTTTAATACTTTCATTCAGTCACACCATTAATCCCCGAGGGTCTTAAAGGTCTTAAAAGATAGCAACCTTTGACTTTAAGAGACACAGCTGTACGATTGGTACGCCAATATTGTTTCCTTTAAGGAAAGCGCATTGTACCCCTTATCGATACGTTGCATAACATTAATCCTAGAAGTCCATATTGATATCCCGCCACAATCGCGTTTGAAACGCAAACACCGGAATCCAGCGTGATTTTGCAGACTCACTCAATCACGCTCAACTTCCCTCTTCACCTTTTTTGTATCGAGTGAAGAAGTGATTCGTTGAGCGCTCAGAGATATTCAGAAATATTAGGGCAGAGAATAATCAAATTAATTAATACATTTTTATGATCGACGGAGAAAGATACACGGTGTACGTCTCGCGACATGAAAAGAAGCCGAGGTCCGTTGGACATCTAGGATTAAGTCTAGAGTCCTTTCGTATGTGGACGCTTAGGGTTAAGTTTAGAATTTAAGAGATCGACGATAATGAAGAAGCGGGTAAATCTCAAGAGAAGGAGCAAAATGCGGATACAAAAGCCCTTATTCTGAAAACTCTTCTTTATCGATAAAAGTCTCTCTCTCTCCCTCACTTTTTATAATATGACTGAAAGCTAAACGGAAGGCTTGAAGTTAGAAGAAGACGTTGACAGATTCAATACGAAACTTGCTGTTTAAGAAGTATTAGTAAAGTATAAATCGCCACTTGCGTGACTTGGACCGGTATTGATAGTTGCAAATTATTTACGAAGTTTAATTGAAAGTATACAACCAAAAGTATTCGGCTACTAGGTTATGTGAAATAAACAGCAAACAATTTCTTGCTGCACCAAATTAATAGTAAACAAAAACAAATATAATCTCTCAGAGACTCATAAAATAATATTTATTTATCAAACAATATATATGATAAATTATGAATTTATAAGCCACATTTAGGGACACTCCTATCGATAAAAGAGAGTTCAGAATAAAGGCCAAGGTGTTTTTGCATTCTATTCTTTGTCGGATTCGTCCCATTTCCCTCTCTCTCCCCCTCCTTTTCTCTTTCTCTCTCTTGCTCCTTCCGCAGTCCCTTGGAAAATCAAAGCGACGTGATTATCACGTAAGAAGAAGCCAAAGTTTCTCTAATTATAACATAAAATCCATATAGGCCTTAAAAAATATTTGACGCCGACGCATAATGTATTTGTAAATGTCCATTGTTTATAATGATTGTGAATATTGTAACAATGAGAGGGGAGCGTTGTCTCCACGGTTACATTGTTGCGTATACATATATATATATATATATATAAATATATAAATATATATTATACACTCGAAAACGCGCTATATGGAGTAACACGGGGGCGAGAATTGGAAATGCGGTAAATTTGATTTTGCGCCCTTATTTGGTCGACGACGACAACGACGACGATAACCACGACACTTTCTCAATGTCGTTGAACGCGCGCAAAGTGTGATGTCTATACGAACTTTCGGCCCGTGTGAGTTTCCAGGGCCCCCCGATTACTCTACGTGTGTAATGGTTTCGTGTAACACAGAAGGTGTCAATGACGATGTTCGCCATGATTATTTTTCTGTATTGTATATTATGTACTATGCTTATTATATTAAAATTAAAAAGGCAGAGCAACTCTTCGGGCTTACTCCTAGAATATAATTCGCGCGTTATTTCGTCTCATGCGACTCGCTCGTTATCATAAGAGATCACAGTAAATTTTACATCTTGAACAAGTGCGTGAGACGGGATTAACTTTTTCGGAATTAACAGGAGCTGCTGCTAAATTCGCGATACAACGAATTTATTCGCATCCTGTATATGACATTTTCAATGAAGATTCCCTTCCCCCCACGAGCTGAACGATTAAAGGACGAAGTGTGTGATAGGGATTATGTAAGATAATAATTAATCGAAAGAATCACAGTATTAGTCGACGTAACATATGATTTATTGCCAGCAAATAAAAATGCATGTGTCCACATATTGGAATTATGGAAACGTACGTTGCTACACTACCGTGATAGAACTGTTCAGTTAGTCTCGATCGAGTGTGCTTGTAATCCTTGAAAAAGAAGTCTCGAAGACAAATTTCCCGACTCGTTTCTTTCGTTTCTTAAAAATCACGTGAGGATCCGTGAAAATATCTCGCTGTTCCCGGACGAAATGTACGCACTTCGGATTATAAGTGCAACATTTACCGCCGACTCACTCGCACCGTGACGTTCTGAAGAAATACTGGGTCCTTCATAATTTCAGGTAACAATATCGATCTGACTGTTTGACACCGTCGAACAATGACGACCCTCGGCCTCGGTTTGCGATACACCTTCGTCATGTTCACGCTTATGTAATCGTGTGGCCCCACTAATACTAAAGTGGAATTGATCCTTTTATATCTCAGTCGTAGCTTGTACCAAACGTTCTCTAGAACACAGATAAACACGCTGACGATGACCATCATGAAGAATCCGCAGAAGGCCAAACTAATATGCTCATATTCCACTGGTTGGAAGGTGCTCTGTCCAAGATAATTGGACTCGCCGTAAGTGTTCATTAGCATCCACTTTTTCTCGAGATAATTCAGTATCCCGGCTGTGCCCATTCGCAGTATGCTGTCAACAAATGTTTCGCGAATACCTTCGGACAAAGAGATCGCGCGTGGCTGACAATATGAAGCTGTACTGAGACAAAACTGTTTGATATTTACAACTATGATCACATAGGGAAATAATTACTGTAAATTATGGCTAAGAAAATTATTCTACTAAATTACAATTCTACTCTGTAATGTAAGTGATAATAATTTTGCATGCATGTGACTATCGCCATTTTCGTGTTAGAGCAACCGAAAAATGTGGTTGAGGAATAAAACTAATTATAATTTTAGTTGGATCAGCCGCTTTTTTCTCTCAGTGCCACGCGCGGCTGAGGGTAACGCTAAAGCCAATCAGAAAACGACACTCACTACATGTTAATGAGGTGTCGGTGTTGCGCCGACCTGGAGTGCAGAAACACCATTCTGCGGCTCCAATAGGTCTCGGGTAGCTGTATGAAGCTACAGTTACGCTGAACCCTATAGTATATCGATCGGAATCTGCTCGGCGCCTCCAAATAAACGAAACTCGGATCGCACAGTTCTGGGGTGAGATTGTCGTTGCTCATGTCAGGGCAGCCGTGGTTTATCAAATCTTTCCAGTTGTCCTTAATTTCACCATCAGACGATTCGTCCTGCAAGATATCTTTATGTCCTTACAGGCGCGGGGCCTTCTCGTAAGATTAAATATAAAAGAGCGCAATATTCTTTCTCTCTCCGTCTCTTTCTCTCTCTCGGAGCTTTAAATAGCCGGCACTTCCTAAGAAGAAAAAAAAAAAACATAAAGAGAGACAGCAGCCGCGCGTGCGGAACTTCGAATTATATCAGCTCGTTCTTTTTTTATTCTTATTATTTCTTTGTCTGCATTTTCACGCGCTTGCGAGCTACTTTACTTTTTCTTTTCTTCATCACTTCTTTGTTTCTATTTTTACGTACTACTGTAAAGTAGCTGTAAGCATTGCTGCCGTTCCTGATACAAAGTATGTGTGTCCTTTTCGTCGCCACATCTTCAAGACTAGTGAAGGGGAAAGAGTCTCTCATATTCGCCAGATCGGAAGTGAGAGTGCTGCTGAATCCACAGGACAATAATAGTCCGAATGTCAGGCAGGATAAAATAATCAAACGGAAGGACCAGCTCCTCGGAACTTTCTGAAATCCTGAACAATGAATATGACCTCCGCAGGAATTCTTTTTTATTTTCTCCTTCTGCTAATTCCATACATTTGATATTTTTTTTTTTAATGTTTAGCTTTTCTTATTAAGAGAATAATTTAGATGTAACGCAGAATGAATTCATCTGTTGATGACAGTACATGTGTGAGTGAGATAAAAATAGAAAAGAAGTGCGTAATCAAATTCAAAAAGGAAACAGCAAACCACAGATGTATCAAAATTAAATGAAGCATTATATTCGCAAAATAATTACGTTTGAATTACATAACAACTCGCTCTATGAGATATGATAACGCGATATCTTGGAGCAGAGAAGTTCAGGCGCGCGACGCGTAGCGAAACTATATAATAAATCAATTAGATGTATATTTCTTCGTCAAGTGCTATTCGTCGCAACGATTCGTAATCAATTAAAACTGGTATATCTTTGTCGAACTGCGATAACCTGTCGTTCGTGCTTTTTCGTCCGTACGATAGCGCACGAATTTGTTTTGACCCTTTTTACAATACTACGGACAAAAAAGACGTGGTTCCATTAAAAAAAAGAATGCAAATAATTATGATTTTTTATAAAAAATAACGTTTCTCTGAAATATTTATTATTACATCTTATTGCCGTTTAATATTGATTGATTGCTCCTAGAATGTTTTCCTGCCCGACCACTGTGCATACATCTATTTTGACGTGTTACCTTGGCCGCTAATACCACCCAGAACGTAAAGCAAGCAGAAAAGCGGCGAGGAAAGCTCGTCGTGAAATTCCATGTAATTAGTGTGGATTAGCTTCTTTATGCGGTACATTCCCATGATGCTACACGCGATGCACAAGATGAAGATGAAAGCCGTTAACCACAGGTCACTACTAAAGGTGTCGAGATACCACGTTGTCGAGACTTTCTCACCCTCCCAGTGGACGAACAAAGCGTATCTGAAAGCGGGACATTTAACGCAGGCCGTCATAGCACAATTCTGAATGGACGCGCGCGGGCGCCCTTTAATTAATTAAATATCGTTGAGGATATCCGAACGAGGATCTCGGAAACGCTGTCTCCAAGGTTCTCGAAGGTAGCTACAGTCACAAACACGAGAGCGTGTTTGCGCTCTCGGACTGGAACCGAGACTCCGCAGTCTTATCTATCTTATTCTACGATCACCCCCTATCGATCACGTGTGCCATGTGGCTTTCATGCGCGCGAAAAACAAAATTCCCGCTGTTGGAGATCGCCGATACGGAAATTCGTCTTTGGCCTTTTCGCTTCTTCTTTTGCTCCCTCTTCTCTCTCCTCTTCTTCTTCTACTTTTTTCCCTTCCCGTGCAAACAAGCATGCATGAGGAGAAGTCGCGAAAGCAAAATCAGAGAGTCATTAGCCGAGATACGATCGCGACGAAGTATATATGTGTCGCCCGAGCGCAAGTATATATGTCCCGGCCGGTGGTGGCTAACCGAAACGGGTTAACGACCGGTGTAAAAATTCCGCTAAAAAGCTTACGTTCGCGCGAAGATGCGCCCGCGATAAGAGCGAGTGATGAACGGCGCTTTCTCGAGGAGAAATCGTTCGTTTGTTTGTACGCTTGCGAGCTAGGGGATGATCGAACGAGTAAGGGCGCGCGCTCGACTTACGAGTTGGTCGTGAATGGCAGGCTGTAGTCGTAGTAGCTCGTGCTGGGCAGGTGCATCATCGAGGCAGTGAGCAGTGCGTGAGTATTTTCATTCATCCTGTAGTACTTCAATCTCGGGCTTCGGTAAATCGTCCTGCATTTTCGCCGAAGAGACGCTTTTATTACGGGTGCCGCAGACTCGGCCCGTCTCTGCCGACCGCCCTCTCCCTCCCTCCGCCCTTTCTACCCTCCAACCCTTCCTTTCCCTACCGTCTGCCGCGCGCACACCCGCTTTACCTTCTCCGCGCTGACTATCCTGATACTATACTTATACCTGTCTAGACGAATGAATCATGCGAGTATTTTGACCCACCACCGGGGCGTGTGGGTGGTACGCGGAAAATTGGGTAGGTTCCACGTACGGCTTCGTCACACATACCCCTTTGATGCGTCGCCATGAAAATTGTTCGTGTAAATCGACAGCGTTAAGACACCGTATTATGTCGGTGGGAAATGCGACTATCTTGCCAGTCTTTCGAAGTAATTCCAAATGGAATATGTAGGTATGGCCGGCCTCCCCCTGATACTCAATCGAGAATCAAACCACCCCCCGTTTTCTCCGTGGGTTCGTGTAGAACTACCCACCCTAACTACTTTGCGAATTCGTTACCAAGATCATTACGTTGGTCATCGGCCACCCTTCGTATGCCATAATGAGATTTTCCCTGCTTAAGCCCGCGTATATAATCATAGAGAATGATAAAATATTTAGTAATTGTTAAAATATACCATCTACTACAAGATAAATACCGTATGCTGAAAAGTCGTGTGTTTAAAAGTCTGTCGCGAACGACACCTTGTTCTGTGCATTTCTGCTTTCGCATAAATAAGAAAGCAATCTCATTTTTAACAATATTGTTTCTTTCTTATAGTATGTGTTCACCGTAACAATATGTCCACTATATTTTTACCAGTCACAATGATCGGACAGTAAGAAAACTGTAGATGTAATTAATCAGTTTTAAATGGAAATAAGATGTATTAATAAAACTCTTATAAACGTTCTCTTTTCATAAAATATTAAGGTCATTTTCACTTTTAAATAAAATAAAATTTTAATAAAATATTATATTAATAAAATTAATTAAATAAAAATTAATTAAATAAAAATTAATTAAATAAAAATTAATTAAATAAAAATTAATTTAATTAATTAAATATATTAATTTAAAATTTAAATAAAATAAAATCATTTCAATCAAAACAAATTCAATAATTACTTATTATATTATCTATAGTTATTTCACAGAAAAAAAGGAACACATAATAACGAAGATTTCAACAACGTATAACCTAAGTATGCAGAAATATAAATTGAAATATCCTAATTAATGTAACATATAAAACTTTATTATAAAGAAAGAAATTTTGTGTTGCAGAAAATGGATTATACTTTGAATATATCTTGAGCATCTAACATTATTTGAATATGTCTTGAGCATCTAACATTATTACATTATATTTTAAATATTATTGTATCTTCTATTCATTGTGTTAAATGTAAAAATAATATTATTATTGAATTTGTTCTGATCCTTTTTACAATACTATGGGTAAAAAAAGACATGGATCTATTTAAAAAAGTGAAAATTATCTTGTTTTTTTTATAAAAAATAACATTCTTAAAATTTTTATTATTGCATCTTATTACCGCTTAAAAACTGATTAATTCTAGAACTTTTTTTGCCCGATTATTGTAACTGGTAAAAAAACAGTGAACATTGTTACAATGAATAGCTTATAGTACTACTTCTCTTAGGATATACTAACTTAAATCCCAAAAGATCCTCTAGATTCGTCCAGATGTCTCCTATGAAACCCGTGACTCCGGTCTTATCTGCGTTTTGCATGATAAACGGATTTATCTGAAATGATAATTCGGATGACGACACTTCGCGTTGCAACATTGTCGTGTAACTCGATAATTACGACAGCCTCGTTAGGTCTGTCGAATCTTACACGAAAGCCGCAAATAGCACGAAGAGAAATCCACACTCACGGGTTTTATATCGACGATGAGTGTCTTTCCGCGCAGATCGCTCACCGTGTTGATGCTACAGAAAGCCGTGTCGTTCATTGTCAGCGTTTCGAGCTTGTCGAACTCGTTCATGTTTGCGTTCCAAAACCAGATGTGTCCCGGTTTGTTTATTATTATTTCCGTATCCTTTTTCGACAGAAATCGAAGACATATCGCCGTCGCGAAGCACGGAAGTACCAGCTGCAATGATACGTTACGCGAATATTATGACGATTTACGAACAATGAAGCTCAACCGCCAATCAAACAATGTGCGCTGATCGCGTACGAGAGAGGGAGAACGAGAGCTTCAAAGATAAATTGTTTAAATACATTAAAAACGATAACGAGATAGAAAAAATTCCCCACCGGTGAGAGAAGATATTTCATCGTGGCAAGTTCCGATACACTCCGATGATCGTTCCCAGTCTTACTGCGCGAATAAGGTGAAAATCGCCCGTGTGAATTCGCGTCTTTCGTCGCACCAATGGAATAATTGACAGGTTTTGCCGTTGAGACGCGAAGAGCTGTCGTCTGCTTTGTCATGTCACGTCAATTATCGTACTACGTACGCAACATACACATACTAATACGAGGATTTTAGGGTTGATATGAGGTGATGTGTTCATTCTCATATGTCAAAGTTTAATTACTTTTGATGTTACGATTCACCACAGTGAATTGCGTGTCTGTCAGGTCTGTGAATCGTAATAATAAAATTAAAGAGAGTCTAAATACACACACACACACACACACACACACATATATATATATATATATATATATATACATACATATATCTTAGGAAATTAATTCGTTCAAATTATTAAAACTCCTGGGTACTCGTTGCGCAACTCTGAATTGATGATGTCAGGAGCGAGAAAACGCATGTCCAAAATTCATGCGTGCCATTTTCAAATAAAATGATATTTATATGAAAGAACATTTCTGATCGCTTAAATATACATGTAAAACGCTCTGAAAACTCTATTTCTTTCCTCTTGATAGTCAATAAATAGCTATGAAATTATAAATTATATACGTAATATATAACTTTCCTCTTTAATTCTTTCTTCATGATTTCTTCATGATTTTGCCACGTTTATGTTGCGGCTATTTATTGACTGTCAAAGAAAAAAGATAGTTTTCGGAACACTTTACAAGTATGCTCAAGTGATTTCAATTATATATTCTTTTATACAAATATCTTTTTACTTACATATGGTATACGGAAAAAGTAACTCCGTTAGTATAATTGAATTTTGTATTACTTGGAGACTAGATAAAAAACTCGGTTGTAGAAATAGAAAGATTCCTGTAGGAGGTTTCTACTCAGTTGTCAGTTATCTCAACCAAGTTTTAATATAGTTGACTATTCAGACGAATGTTTCGCAGTAACAAAGTTATTACTTCTCGTCAGCGAGGTTTTCATCTGATCCCCATTCAGTCCCTGAACTGAGATTTTTGTTTTCCGTGCACGTAAGAATTTTCAGCGTGTTATTTCTCACTTCTGACGTCACAGTCCAATATGACAGAAGCGAGTGTCAGATCAGCCTGAATTATAAAGATAAAGGTGGATGCTTTAATTTAGATGCGGAAAAGATTAACTTTTGTTACGTTTGTGGCGACTTTCAATCAGTAAGAGCGGTGGTGAACCAACACTGCGTGCTTCATGAGGATTTCAATGCTTGGCAAACGCTGCAATCATATACTAATCATCATTATAGGCATTTAGAATTCTCGTGAGAGCCTATCATATATCAAGTGATAATGTGATGATTATTTATGACTATTTATGACTATGTGATGACTATTTATCATAGTCATAGTCATTTTTTGCTTCACATACTTATGAGACTCGTGACTTTGATCACTTTCTTCTAACGGGTACTAAAATATCCGTGACTTCAGAGAGCATACAGTTTCCCTGATTTCTCTCTCTGTTTATACCCCATGCATGTTTAGCTCCGGTAGAAAGGGAACGTTGATTCACTTCGTGCACCAAAGAAGACGCATAAGAGAAGGAGGAAGAGGAGGAAGAACAAGAAGACGAAGACGAAGAAGTGAAGGGCGAGATAAAAAGTACAGGCACATTGTATCGGTAACGGTGATCCGTCAGATGAAATCTCGCCAAAAAAGGGGGGTCGTACGATCGCCAAGATCAAAGCGAGATATCTTCGACGAAGCTATAAGCAATTTCGTTCCTGATCCGCGAGCATGCAAATTATTATAATTGATTCCACAAAAGGGACCACTACGAGAGAAAAAGGAATATGGAAATTAGTGTGATCAGACAACCATAAAATTTTATTGAACGACATAATGCACCTGAGTAGCGCAACTCATAATATGAGCGCGATCCGTCTCGTTGAACCTAACTAGACATAATGAAAGAGCCCGTCGCCGATCAAAGTGCTCATTATTTCACGATCGATGTGTTAACGGACAAGCAGACATTGTGGTGATTTCGACAAGACTACGCGCGGTAGAGCGTATTCACTTTTCACCTTCCGGCAGTCACGTAAACGCGCGCGCATGGGAAGCGCATGGGATGTTGGTTTTGGCCGAGATGGATTGCTTTACCGTTAGAGATGCGTGTGCGCGCGCTGTACTCTTTTTGCGCTTCCTCTCGGTTTCTCCCTCTCTGTGGACAATCAGCTCACGGATCGCGGATAGATATTGCGCGCTTTGCCATTTCGTAAGAGGCGTTGCCGTGAAAAATTCTTGGATGCGCGGCGCCTTTACCGAGCGCGCGTTCTTATGCGCAGTACTTTCGTCTCCCCGCAGGCAACGCACATTGCCACTTTGGAAAAAAAAAAGAAAAAAGACCCTCGACCCTCGACAGTCCTGCTCGGGAGGAGAAGCTGTATTTATAGAACGCGCGGACGCACCTAAAGTATGTTACGTCCCGCTTTTGCAATTTAAACGTCCATCTCACTGCGACGGAATTCTGGACGGCGCCGCGGGTTTCGAACTCCGATGAAATCGGCCGCGCCTATCCGAAATCTCCGGTTTCGCTCGCAAGAAAGATGTATGCGGAATGCAAAAAAATCTCGTCGTTTAGAATACGCGGCGATCGGTGCATCTGCGATCGCGCGCAGCCCCGTCGCGGGATTTGAATCTTTTTGAGGCCCCATTTGGATTTCAAATGCCGGGCCCGTGCGCGCTGCTCTCCCGCATCTTCCTCTTTCTCCTTCTCTTCTAACCCTCCTCGTCTCGCCCTCATACTTCGCTATCGTGCATCAGTGGGATGACACTGAGAGAAAAGATATCTAAAAATTAGTAACTATTCATTTGGTGAATACTAAACAACACATTTACTTAAATTCACTTTTATTTAACCCTTTGTGGTATGATAGGTCGCTCAGTCCACTATTCGTTTTTTCTTCTCAGTTTATAATTATTCTAACGACGTTCTTGATGTTAAGTACAAGGTCTTTTGTTCTCATAGAGTTCCTAATGCATGAACAAATATAAAAAAAGTAGGTGTATATAAATTTTTGCGTAATTGAAATAAATAAACAAATGGTTAAACAAAATACAATTTCGAAAGGAACTAAAGAGCTAAGGTGCGAGTTATGCTAAGAGTTAAGTGCTATTTTATATTATACATAATAAATTACAAATTCAGATATTTCGACCATAGGATGTGGTTCTCTTCAGTTCATAATGTCACAAATCGTCAATATGAAAGGTCAACCGGTTGTAGTCATACGTTGTGTTGGACGTGTGGCCGAATCGCATTCATTGTTAACAGACTGCATAGAAAGTAAAATGTCAAAACAATAAAAGGAATATATATTTGAAGGGACTTATAAGGTAAATATACCAATGCCCGGACATTTGCCAATCTCCGGACATTGTTATTATTTTTATATTTGAATATTTCAACTTTCAACGTACAATACATACATATTGGTATATTTAGTGTACGTTGAAAGATGAAATATTTAGAGAAATATTCAAAATAATAAGAGTGTCCGGAATTAGGTACATGTCCGGGCATTGGGACATTTACCTTAATGATAGATGTAAATCGCTTACCAATATATATGGTACCAATGATACATAAAGAGGCATTCCTCAGTCAAGAGTCTTATTATGGTAACATAAAACAACGTATAATGAAACAATAGAAACCAATAATTCGTGATGATACATTTCAAACTAATATCTAATAAAGACAAACACACGGTAAAGAAAAAGAAAATAAGAAAAAGAAAAAGCAGTGTGAGATGTGTGTATGATGAGGAAGCAGATGTAATTAAAGGAAGAATTCAGATAGCATCACGACCGCTTGTCACAAACCATATCTAGCAAAGGAAAATAAACATTATTTAAACCGTCCAAATCCGTCTGGAGATTCAAACCGTTGTTCTGGTTTTTTATATGAATCTCCGAAATGAGGCGTTTGTGATAGTTCCTTTCAATGTCTAAAATTACTACATTGTTCCAATCAAAATCATGGTTAAAATGAAATCTATGCTCCGTGATGGGAGATGGATACTTGTTGTTACGTATCATATGAGCTCGAGGTTCCTTTATTCGAGTAAGTAACTGCCGCTTGGTCTGGCCAACATAAGACGCGTTACAAATAATTAAAATTTGTTTTATGAAAAGAAATTAATTTTCTCTTAAATTATTATTAATAGCAAAACGGCAATTTAGGCATTTATTTAGTCAATATATTACTTAGTCAATATGTTACTTAGTCAATATGTTGCTTAATCAATATGTTTTACTGTATGTCAATTTAAATGAATAGTTATTTTTTGTAATGACGTCCTTAGGTTTCTTTGGAACACTGAATTCTAATCTGAGGTCAGAATTTTTAAATATTTTAAAATTAAAAATAGCGAAATATTGGTAAGCGATTTACATCTATCATTAAGGTAAATGTCCCAATGCCCGGACATGTACCTAATTCCACTCTTATTATTTTGAATATTTCTCTAAATATTTCATCTTTTAACGTACACTAAATATAAATATTAAATGTATGTATACCAATATGTATGTATTATATGTTGAAAGTTGAAATATTCATATTCAAATATAAAAATAATAACAATGTCCGGAGATTGGTACACGTCCGGGCATTGGTATATTTATCTTATAAGTCCCTTCAACTATATATTCCTTTTATTTTTTTGACATTTTACTTTCTATGCAGTCTGTATAAACTAGTATCGATTTTAAAATTCTGGCTTCTGATTCATAATCAGCGACTTGAAAAATCTTTGAGTAGAAAGTTAAAAAAAATCGGTCTAATACAAAAATATATATGTGACATAAAGAGTTAAATAGAAAAAATAATTGCATTTATATGAAAAACTAAGGGTTTTCTTAAGATTTTTAAAAAATGCATACATTCTTATTCTTGAAAAAAATATTTTATACTAGTATAAGTAAAAATATACTGTTAGTACCACCAAATAAATATTTACTATATTTTATAGATATTCTTTCTCTCAGTATGCGACAACGGCATGACGGTCGTTGCGCTTCAGCGTTCGGTGCCCTCGATTTCGGGCAGCATAAGAGATTCGATCGATCGATCGTTCAGTCGATCGGTAGATCCACGCGCCAAGACCGATTGATGTGCAGAAACTGCACGCACCGCCGCGGCACGTGTAATCGACGAATTTGAAAGTTTTATACGGTATGATAAGAGAGAGAGAGGGAGGGAGGAGGGGGGAGAGAAAGACGCTGGTATCTCTCGCCGTTTGGTCGCCAGTAACTTCGAATATAAAATAAAAAAAGGACAAGGAATACACACACACACACACACACACACACACACACACACACACACACACACACACATTTCACCATTGGATGAGTGACGATCGCTTTTTGTTTAACGGCACGACACGGACAATGCATAAAACATCTTCGCGCGGTCAGTGGCCCGAAAGGAAACGCGATGCAGCAACGCACTTTCGTACTCCAGTTCGACGTTGTTGGCGAGGAGGGCTGCGGATCGATGATGCGATAACGGTGACAACGACAATTGTATTATTACAATTGCAAATATGTGATATAATGATAAACAACCACTTAATGCGATAAAAATTTAAAGTAAAAAATTAGGGAGGAGATGGACATACGTGGCGATGACCCCGATATACAATTTCAGGGTCAATAGACTTATCATATCAACCCTAAGGACGAAAGCAATCATAAAATGTCTGAAGGAATTGTTGAGTAAAGTATTAGTAATTTATATTTATTTTGGTTCTACACGACCTCACCGTATTCTACTTACGGATCAAGTAGCCACTAGCGGATAGAAACCCCTAAAGGCGTTGCTAAAACTTCCAAGGGCAATCAAGAACGGAAACAGGTGTCACCCGAAGTGGTTAAAGCCACCCCTTTCATTTTTTGAGGGTCTCAACGGTCTCTGGCCTTCCGTCTGCCGAAAAGCTTGATACACGGTCGCGTATATCCGCAATAATCCTCAACGAGCACTCAGAGTCTGTTGAGGTCGCTGGAATACGCGGACACGGCGGTCGGCGGACGACCCGGTGCCCGAATCTTTTTGGCGTTCGTAAAGTTGTCGTGGCGGGCTTTGACGGGGGCCGCCTGCGATTTGCGAACCGCGCATAGAGAGGAACGAAGCTAAACGTCGCCTCTCCGTGAGGGAATCGCGAAGGCAAGTCAACGGGGAAGAGAAGGAAGAAAGAAAGAAAGAGAGAAAGAGAGAGAGAGGTTCGTACATGAGGAACGGTGGGGTATGGCAAGTCGCGCCGGGTGCGACGGTCGGGCGCGCGAGATTCGAGGGCGGCAGAGGGGGAGGGCGGCGGTATTCGCGGTGGTGGACGACGCGGCGGCGGTGGCGGTGGCGGTGGCGGCGGTGGCAGTGGCGGTGGCGAAAGGGTTGGGGGGAGATAGGGGAGCAGTGAGGGAGTAGGAGAGCGCGGCGGGGGAGAGAGGGAGATTTGTTGGCGGCGGGTATAGGTATACGTTCGGCCTCTACGACACGACGCGAGTGCGTAAGATACTACGGGACAGAGGAGACGGAGAAAGACGTCGCGACTTGTGCGCGAAAGAGGGAGATGCCGTAGGAGAGGAGAGGACAGAGGGAAAGAGAGAAAGAGATAGAGAAAGAGGGAGAGAGGGAAGAAGAAAGAAGAAGAAGAGAGGAGGAGGAGGTCTCTACCTCGACATATATGCGGTGAGAACGTGCGCCTCCTGTCTCAGTGCTTGACAGGCCGGCAAGCTCTTAGGATCCATCTGCAAGTCCGCGGATCTGCAAGTCCAACGGACCGCCGCTGCCCTCATCGTCCTCTTCGTCGTTCTCATCGAGAGCCAGCTCTGGGTCTTGGTGACTTCCCTGGAGGCGACGGCGAAGTTGAGCTGACGGCGCGTAAGACTGGTCCCAGTAAGTAGTCACGGAGACAAGCAGCAGTAGTAGTCACCCGCTAGTGGGCCGGCCAAGTCAGAGCCCCGGAAGTGTAAGGAGATTCACGAGGAAGAGACATCGAGACGCACGTACAAGAAAAACAGACAGGTAAAATTAGTCGATCCTGTGGCTGTAGCTCCAAAGAAACCAGCTCGGATTTGGCGCCATGACGCCTTGGATGACGTTCGCTTGAGAATAGGGTCTGTCATTGAAAGAGTTCGTGAGCGCGACCGCGTGTGTCTCGAAATGACAGCGGGTTGGCGCCAGGACTGAAGGTCACGAGGATGCAACGGACCGCATGACCCGTCAGGTCAATCGACAGAAGCAGCAAGGCCTGATGCACCGAGACCCAAGTGCCTTCTGTGACTCTCTCTCTCTCTCTCTCTCTCTCTCTCTCTCTGTCTCTCTCGCGGTGATTGGTGTGCGTGAGAACGTTTCTTGGTGAATCCGAAAGTGGAACGGACTGCTCCTCCGACTGCTCTGGCAATTCCCTTCCGATCCGATCGCACTGACCGCCTGAATCGACAAGATTCACTTTGCCGCCGCGAGGACGAGAGAAATCGCTAAGTCTTCAAGTTCCACGGATAGTTGGGTAGCTTCGTGACGGAGGAAGGAAGAAAGCGAAACTGGATCGCGTGGATCGCGACTGTGATCGAGGCCGGTCGCCCAGTTCCGGCGGAGCAGCGACACTAGGGCAGCGCAATAAGTCAGGGACCAGGAAGCTTTTGGTAGTGGAGAACGTATGGTTGCGTAAGTTCAGGAAGAAGCTGGCGGTGCGAGATAAGCGACGAAGAAAGAGACTTCCCTCGCGGAAGAAGCCGGAGCTGCGCGGAGACAAATAGAGAACAACGAGCAACGGTGAAACTGCGAGCATTCTTGCAGGATAAATCCAGAAAGAAGATCCGCGAGAGAAGAGCAAGTCCCCTATTCTGAGAAACCGAGAGTGACAAAAGCAGAGGCACGGAATCGCCCAAGAGAGGAAGCAACAGAAGCTCCGAGTTGCATTCCGAGAGAAGACCAGGACTCAGTGAGGAGAAGTGACGATGCTATCGACGATCTGATCGTTCTTCTCGTGACGAAGGCCGATCGTAGTTGATCCGATCAAGGGCGACCTTGAAGAAGATGGTCACGAGGGCGCTACTGCTACTCTCGCTGGTCCTCCTCGGTGCCTTCGACGCCCCCGGCATCGAGAGACCTCACGTCCGACACCTGGCGATGGCCGGTAACGCCTGCAGCGCCTGCAGGAAGCACGAGGAGTACCGCATATTGAGTCTGGAGGTTATCAAGGAGCAGATCTTGAACAAGCTTGGCCTGAAGCAGGCGCCCAATATAACGGGTCGCGCCCTGCCGAGGATTCCGCCGATCTCGAAGCTGATGGACATGTACGGGATGCAGGCCGATCAGCCACCTGAGCCTGGTATCGCGCATCACGAGGAGTTCGACGAATATGCCGCGAAGACGGAGAGCGTCTTTGCCTTGGCGCAACCTCGTAAGTCTCTCTCCTTCTGTTTGCTTTCTCTTGGTATATATATTGCTAAGCGATGCAGTCAAGTTTGATGATCTCACGAGAACTTTAAGTTCACGCACTCGCGCCGTCTTGCACACTCACCTCTGTCAGGAAAATTGGATCTTCCACTTATTTCTTCACGATAAAAGAAAAGCTATTGGTTAATAAAAATTTAACTATATTTTAGAAAGCACCAATTTTTATCATAGTCTATTCTATTACGTGGATTAATTGATATATATTCGACAATATAAAATATTAGGAATGTATTAATTCTCGATACGAAGTAAATTGGCAAGTAAAATCGTTCGTTCCAATTCGATTTAAATGGAATATTTCATTTCTATTCGAAATTAACTTGCCAATCACAAAAGTATATCAGTTGACCAGTACTAGTATAGTACCAGTACTAGTATATAAGTTTACAGAGTGATTCAAGTGTGATTTTCAAAACCATCGACGGAAAGCTTGAAATATGCAAATGCAGGGCATGTACACGGTCACGCCTGATGACGGGCAGAAAAACTTCTTGAGAGGATACGTTGAGAAAAAAAAAGTAGCTGAGTTAATGAGACTTTGGTTGAACGAACAAAATTCGTTCGAGCAAACGTTTAGTCGATCAAATACGAATAATATAGTTGTTACGATGAGTTTTCAATTGATCCAACGATTGCGATTTCGTTGATCAGTAATTGTATCAACGCAACTTACCGTTGCACTAATGCGTAATTTGTTCAATAGACCCAATGTTTCTTCAGAGGCGGCTGACCGCCAATTTTGTCAATCCAATTGCTTTTTTCTCAGTGTAATAATGCTCGGCGGGAAACACAGGCACGCGAGTCGGAAGTTTTTTGCGGACTTACAATTCTGATTCGTAATCCTCGCTCGCTAAACCGACTCTTTCTTTTGAAACTTTTTAATCTAATTAATTAGATTAATTAGATCGAATATTTGATCGCACTAAGAGACCGCGTTAGCTTTTTTCTCTTTTTTGTCATAAAGAAAGTAATGCTATGTAAAAAGTTTTGTTCATCCTTCTCGCAGCAACGTTATTATCCTCTCAACAAGATTTTCCGTCTATCAGCGGAAGCAACTGTGCACTTACGCATTTATTTCAATAACACCAAGACAATCGTTGTGATTCGCATTTTATTGAGAGTTCTTACGTTCGTAGAAAGCATTGCTCTGTACAATCTCTAATGAATGCGCCAATACAATGTGCGGTACGCCATGCGCTGAGAAAAAAATACTAGAAGATTTCTTTGTAGGATATAAAGTTTGTTTAGGCAGCAGCAGACTTCTTTACTTTACACAGAAATCCACTTCATGTCCCACAGATAAATTCTTAACTATTTTCTTCTCAGTGTATAAAAAAAAGAAATCTCTTTTCGCGCGACGAATTGTCGAATGCCTTATGTGTTGAGACGTGCGACCGTCCTTCTATTTTGCGCTGCGTTCAGTTCGATATGCCGCTGCAAAAACCCGCTGTGCATATCTTGGCGGGTAGCGCTATCCCAAAGATCATGCCAGCGCGCGACGGTTTGCTCAGAATTAATTACCGCGAGTGGTAATATTTCATACACGACACCGATCATGTTTTCCTTGGCAACGTCAAGTAAATTAACCTCAGCGACTCGGCGATCCGCCCGGCGTGACTCGCGTTATACACACGCTCGCATGCAATATTGTAGGCACACTGAATTGCATCGTATCATCGCCGCTGATGAGCACTTAATAGTGCCGAAGTAACAATTATATAACTTGCTCTTATACCCGACATCCGTTGCCGTTAACTTCACGATTTGCTCGACGAGCGCCACAACTCGATCCCCTTCACCGGCGATGCGCGCACCAAAGTAAATGATGACGCGGATCTGAGCGTAGATCTTGGCGAAACGGAGCGGAAGTTCGGGAAAAGGGTGAAAAAGAAATTCGGAGGATCTCCCGTAAAGTACCCACTGTTCCCTCCTCCTTCTCTTTCTCTCTTCTTTCTCGCAAGCGCGGATCAACGTCGAGTGTGAGACGCGAAAGGAATTGATATTTCGCCGTACTTTCATCCCGCGTAAGTGCCTCGTTGTTTAAAATTTGCAGTTCGCTCGTGAATATGGGGATGAATGTGCTCGTAAATTTTTATTAACAGAGGAGAGATTCAACGGAGCGAGAAGAATCAGATCTCCGCGTAAATTTTTCGCGATTCCCTCCTTCACTTTCGCAGCGATCCTATAATTGAGGTAAATTAATAGGCGGCTTGCTATTTGTGCCGTTCTTAGTGCTTGATGCGCGCGGTAACATAGCATCGTTGGCTGAAGTCGAACTCTTTGCTCGCCAGGCATAGAGTGCGTCTAGGCTTCCTTCGATCCTTCGTGCGCCTTCTAACAGTTTCGATTTGAAATTCGATCCCACCCTGTGGCTTCAAGAGCATTCTCGCAAGGCGATAATGGGCCTTATCGACGCTGCTGCGCGCAGGCCCCCTATATAACACCTTATACTGGGTGTCTTGGTGGTTGTGCATTATCTTTCTCTGAAGTTCTCCAAGGAAACGTCGCGATTCCTTGTTGCGAAAATCGAATCGACGGAGCGGTCTCCGATTATTGCTTCTTCACGTTTGGCGACAAATGTCGTAACAATCGAATCCGACGTCGAATCCTCATGGAGTTTGCAAAAATGTACGCGTCCGCTCACCTGTTCCGCCGCCGTTCGCGAAACGTAAAATGAGAACGTGCGGTTGCAACGCGGCGATGCAAGCGCGCGATTTTCATCGCGATCGTCGCGTGTCACGCGGCCTATGGATTCCCGATAATCGCGATTACAAGTCGCAATTACGCTAATTTCACTCAATTTCTGCCCGAGCAACTCGTCAAAAATTGTCGCCGCCGTTTGAGAAATTCGCAAGCCGAGGAGGAACGGGCGGAGGCTCAAGGCGACGCGTGTCTACGTGGACACCCTGTATGCACGCTGTGTATAATATACACTTGTTAAGCAGCAGAAGAGAGAAGAAGATCCAAACGATCCGCCGCCGCACGAGTCCCTCGGGCGAAACTGTCTTCGAGCCACTTACCGCTAAGCACGTAATAGTGGCGGTAGGACCGCAACCTGTTATTAAGGCCCCCGTGTTCGCGAAAAAAAAGAGAGAAAAAAAGGAGAAAAACGAGATCAACGACCTGCTTAGGTGGGAGCTCGAGCGAGAAACCGATCGGTGCGCTACGGCGGTCGAGAGCCGCGGCGTTTTTTCGAACGAATTTGAATTTTATAGGCATAATTTGGCTCCGCGCACGCCTCGCCCGAAAGAGAAACAAAGAGAGGAACAGAGAGAGAGAGAGAGAGAGAGAGAGAGAGAGAGAGAGAGAGAGAGGGATAGAGAGAAAAAGAGAGAGAAGCAGAGGCAGAGGAAAAGGAAAGGAAGGAGGGAGGGAGAGACATATGATCGGCATTTGACAGAGTTCTCAGTCGAAGCGCGCACCGACCATATTGTCGGAAGATTATCGCAGCTCGCGTGATTACGGACACTTTGGCCATTCCCCATAAGCGCGTCGACTTATTATTATCTGTATCGCGCCAATTATGCCTCTATTCTCCGGTAGTGCGATTGGGAGGCGCGAGAGAGAAAGAGAAAGAGAGACTCGAGCTCCCGCGGCGAACTCTCGCATAATGCTTCGTCGTTGTGTCGGGTGGGCCGCTAATTACGGATGTTGCTTGTAACCGTGATGGAGCGTTACTTGCACGGTTTACGTTAAGGATCAACCATGAAGCGGCGAATTATCAAGCTCGGTTATCAATTGCACGCGAGTGCTACATTGTTGGAGATTAATACTTACGCTCCGCAACGCAGTCGTTTTCTCTCATTACGTACTGCTGCCGATTAAACGTGCCGAGAAGAATATTGAATAAAAAAAAGAAGATTTGTGAAATATTTTAAAACACTTTTGAGTTGTATTTAACGTTTACCTCTTCTCCTAGAGACAAATATGAAAATACGTCTAAAATACGTAAATGTAAAGGTAAATGCATTGAGAGAAAAGATATTTAAAAATAAAAATCCACACGTAGGGGAGAGGGTATTAACATATTTATTTTAATCTAAATTTTTTTATTTAAGTAGAATAAATGATTGCTTTCTCGGAAGGTTAAGATTAAAAAAAAAATATATTTTCTTATTAGAAAAATATTTTAAGATTTTTTAAGAAAATGTATATATTTCATATTAATGTATTAATAATATTTCATATTAATATAAGTAAATATGTTATTGGTACCCACCGAATAAATACTTTTTATTTCTTCGACATCTTTTCTCTCACTGTAAAATCTACACTTGTCATATCTCTCGTTTGTTCGAGACGCATTTATTTGTAAGCGACTTCGCGTAAATTTCAACTTCCTTCGTATTCGTCGCGTCGCGAGAGGCCTTATTCGCTGCTGGCCACAATGTAGCGAACAATCCCAGCTGGTGTGCTTCCTAAATTGATCACGCTGTTGCAGCACCAGTCGAAAATAAGTCTGCATATATTTAGCATCATGTAGATAACGAGTGCTGATGTGAGAACGAAAGTTCAGAAACGATACACCACTGTTGGGGAGTTATCGGTGAGATTAATAGCCGGAACGATTTATTGAAAATAAATCAGCATGACTGATACATACGCGCGACGTGTTCGAGTTGTGGCGTAATGCGTATGTACTGTGCGTAAAACGTGGGCGAATCGCGCCCGTAATGCGCCAAACTGCGATATCAGCTGGTGCTTGAAGTGCTGAACTTTGCAAGTAGATACAGAACGAGTAGATGTAGTAGAATAGCGCCGAAATTGCTAAAAAAAGAATGAGTAACCAGTATCGTGCTCGCTGACGGGTTATCATGAGCGACCTCTTGGCCGTCTCGTCCAATGTCTCATCCCCGCAGATGCAGGGCGATCTTTGAAAATCCGTCGCGCGAATTTTCTCTCTTCACTCCGCCTTCACCCACAGGATGTCCTCCTTCCTTCTCAACAAAGTCCGCATCTTATTTCCGAAATCTACTTGTATATTTTTAAGGTTTTACTCTCTCTCTCTCTCTCTCTCTTCCTCTCTCTTTTTCTCATACTTTCTTTCTCTGTCACAATTGTGTAAAATATTTTTTTAAGTTTTACCATGCACAATGTAAGACTGAATGTTTGACTGAAGAAATGTAGAGAAGATCATTCTTGCGACTGTTCTCGAAGATGATGATTTTTATACGCAATCAAAAATATAATCAAAAAACAAAATAAAAAATGATCCTTAGGTCATCAATATTTTTATCGTTTTCATCGATATTTTGGTATGTCTTTCTATTGTATCTGATTCTATTTTTCTTTTTATGTACTATGCAGCAGATCGTCCGCGTATCACTTTGTATTTATGTCACTTTAATACACGTCTTTTATTAATTCTCATTTTATGGAATTCGTTTCATGAAGTTGCATTTCATTTTCTTATTTATGTACGTTGCACTCGCCGCCTGGCTTACTCACTTTTCTTCTCACTTCACTCGTAATCTTTCTTCTCTCTTATCTTTGCTACCTTTTGACCGTTCTTTATCCGTGACGTATTTTTTTTTGCTGGCGGTTTATCTTCTACATTGCAACGCCATTTCTTTTTTCCTTGTTTTGGTTTCGAGGCGTATATTTTCTTGATGTCGTGCGTTTCTCATTAGTTGCATTATCGTCCGCTACGCGATCTCGCTTGCGTCTTGCTTGATTCCCTTGATTATCAATCGCAACGCGTTTTTCTTCCCTCCAGTGACACCTTTTTCGTCTGCATCGGGCCATTTTCTTCGATTTTTTCGCTCTGTATCATATCTTTTTCGAGAAAACAACTGGCAATTTTTTTTCCAACGTCCACAAGAGATGAAAAATCTTGATCTTATCTCTTGCAAGTCGTGTTCGTAAGTGCGTGTAAGTATTCCACAAATGTATAGATACGCGCGTCCGTACATGTTGGAACTAGTGAAGTGTTGATACACAAAGAAAAAGGTTTGTTAACAACTATCGAGCTTGGATAATAGTTAGACGCTTTGATGAAATATTAATTTCCACGTATAGGTTCTAAACGTGTAAGTGTATACAATCAAATAATTTAGTAGATTTTAACAACTTTTAGCAAGGCTTAGTGATTGTTGTTGAGACTTGGTGACTGTTACCAATCTATGTGATATCGGGACTATAAGATCGAAATATGTTCAACTAAACGTGTAAGTGAATATAATTAAGTAGATAAGTCTTAACAAATAATCTAGTCTAAGCCAAACTCGTGATATTTATTATCGAGGTTTACTATCTGTTGTTACATTGAGAAAAAATACATTGAACATTTATTTGTGAGATATAAAATTTACTTCTGTGAAATAAAGTCTATTTCTAAAAAAACTTTGAATAAACTTTATATCTCGCAAATATAAATTTTCAAATATTTTTTCTTCGTGTAAATAATAATACCAATTTATGTAATACGTATCACCAAACAGTTTGTTAAATAAAATCATATTGTTCAATGATAAACATTATATTATGTAATGAATGTACGAAATGACCAAATATCTTTGCAGTAGTCAAACTAGTAGTAGTTGTTATTAAATTATTTATATTATTTAGTCATTCAATTGCTTCAACTGAATGAAGAATTTGTTTTGTAATTAATACCAGATCTAATTCTTTTATAATTATTACCAGATGGTTTTAATAGATATTACAGTTTGTAGCTATATTTAAATATTAAAAATATTTAAATACTAAAGTTACCAAATGTTGCACTCAGATGTTCAACTAAATGCACTTGTTAACTATCACAAGACTTTTTTCCCAGTATAGTTCATCACTCAACAATGATCTGTGCTAAGCAGTGCGGTTTGCAAGATATTCTCGCGATGTGGCGATGGTGACGATCGTTTCGAATCTGTCGTACATGTATAATTACGAAGCGCTTATCCCGCTGTCTCAGATATCATATACTTTTTGCGAATCATACGTTATATAAGACGTTAGAAGCTGATCTAAGAAGCAACCCGTTTATTTCGACGTTGCAGTCCCGATAATTGCCAAGTTTTAAATAACCAGAGATTACGTAGAGGATGTTGCGATAAATCGCAGTCACCCGGCGTGGTAAACTTCACGACAAGATTCGCACTTGTCATTAACTTCAAGTAGGTTTTATTTGAACGAATGTTTGCCGATTTAATTCTTAATTTTCAATTATCCACAATTATCGCACAACGACTTACGTTGGTTAAAAACACGCGTAATAAGACCAAAATTTTATCGAGAAAGAAACACTCGCTTCCTATGGTCTGCAATAAATTTATCTATACTGAGAAAAAAAAGTAATGAAGTTAATGAGACTTCGCTTGAATGATCAAAATTCACTTGAACGATCAAGCAGATGTTTAGTCGATCGAATGAATTATATAGTTGCTGCTGTGATGAGAGTTATCAATTGGTTCAACGATTGCGATTTAGTCAATAATTATATCGACGCGATTTATTGTTGCACTAACGCATAATTTGTTCAATAGATACGATACTTCTTTGAAGGCGGGTGATCGTCGATCCAACTACTTCTTTTTTTAATGTATTAATAGTGCGTACATGTGCAAGCTTCTCCAGCGCTCAATGCGCAACGACCGACTCGATATTAACAATCTATACACATGAGACGGGACCTGAAAATTCATTATAATAAAGACCGGCAGTCTCTTTGTAGTCACCGCCGCGTAACCTCGAACTCGATGTTGGCTAAAATTATTCCTGTAGGAAATATACCGTGCACGTTCCGCCCTGATAGTCGCTGCAGACGCGACTGATTAGCCGTCTTTTAAATATTTTTTCTCGCCGACATATATGTAGACGATACGATAAGGGATTAATCAGATACATAAAAAATATACAGAGAAAAACAAACACAACGTTCTGCGTTTAGATGAGAAACAGATAAATCTCGACGTCGTAATTCAACGATTATAGATTAACGTAAATAGATTACACCGTTTTAGGAACTTTTAAGAGATAAAACAGGGATGATCGGATTTTCCAGATAGACTCAAAAGCGATTTCGCTCTTCTGCATCGAATCTCCGAAAAAAATTTCCGAAGCTCATAAGACACGATTCGAGTATTTTTAGCGCGCACTTAACGCACTCGGCATGTGGCCGCGTGAAATTGAATTTTATTCGACTGAAATGAAGATCGCGTTCGATGCGACGAGAGTCCGACATCACGAAGAATATCGACGTGTGCGAATTAGAGAATCGCAACCAACGTGACATTTCTTCGAAATACTTGAACATGCCGAACGCAGAGCTTGTATTGTTTTTTCATTAGCCGCATAATCGAATACCAACAAATTTGTGTAATCGAGAGACTTCTATTCACTGATAATTACAAGATCTTTTTCCACTTTTGCTGGAAACACAATTACTGTGAGAAGGGCGGCTTAATTAATTTAGCATCTAAACGAAATAAAAGAGTCGTTTTTCGATACTCATTCATCAATATCCTCGAAGAAAAAGACGAAGACAGAAACTGAGACCCGTAGACTTAATAAGTCCGAGATAGAGACCATCGGGATCTTTCTCTCTCTCTTTCTTTCTCTCCCCCTCTTTCTTCCTCATTCTCATCGGAGTTAAAAACCTTAAGTATAGACCAGTCGAATACTAGGCTAGGCGCGATCGCGAACACTCGCAAACGTGTATGTGTGCGAACGACGAACCGGCCTCCATCCGCAACGAAGGTCACGGCCGGTGCACAGCCTAGGTCAGGCCCATCGCCCATTATCGCGTTAAAGCTGTCTGTAGATGACTGGCGGCTATTAGGACCGCTGGGACAGAGCCTAGTCCATGACGTAGCGCCCGGAGCTACTCTAGGACGGCAATTTACTCTGGTCAGCTGGAGCAATGATTGCTCAAAGCGGTGAGGCGATCACAAACTCGAAAGGACGAATGCATACAGCGGAGAGCACAATAAGAAAAGTGTTTTCTTTTATATATTTTTTTCTGCAATAACATGGAGTGGAACTTGATTTTCGCCTTTTATCCTTCTTCCTTCTCTTGTTATATCCGGGAGCTTAGTTTCGTTTAGCTAAAATGTTTCCGCGATTATATTGCGGATGGTATACGCTTTATCGAGTCGTTAGTCGATACAGAAGTATAGGTATTCTTTCTCGTTGTAGTAATTATATGCGGACAGAATTTTATAGTAGAAAATACTATAGAATTTTGTAAGCGAGGAATAGAAATCGGCATTTCTATTACGTTGTTAATTTATTGCTAGTAACATATTACCTTACATATCAGCTTAATACTTGCTATACTATAGTAGTGATACATAGTTACTATACTAGTAATTTATTATTCTTTCATTTCATATGAGTTATATATATTTTACGGACTGAAAACTACTACTAAAAAATTGTCCATGTTTCTTAAGGCTCTGCTATTTCTGGGGCGGCCATATTGGTTTGATGACGTCAGAAGCGAGAAATGACATACCGAAAATCTCTTGCGTTTTATTGCTTTATTTTTTACTTTTCCCTGAAGAACCAAATATTTTCCTAATCCTGAAACCTGTAAAAAGTACAGCAAACTTTGATATCTGGTTGATATATCAACCAGTATCGTAAAATAATTCCTGAAATAATGCTGCATTTTTAAGCTGTCACGGTGGTTTGACAGCTGAGATACCAGCCTGTATCAACATATTTAATTTCTCGATTTTCACATATCACCAGTATCACTGAGTTTGTTGTACATTTTACGGCTGTGAGGATCACGATAATATACACATTTCACGGAGAAACTAAAAAATAACGCGATAAAACGCAAGTAATTTTCCGAGGTGTCAAGCGAGGCCTAATATGAGCCTAGCCTAGTGTCAGCCAATCAGTTACGCTGACATGGTTATTTCGTGTTCTCGACTGCTAGGCGCCACTATCAATTCAGACTTTCTGCGGCAAGATAGCAGAGCCTTAACGAACCTTATCGACAGTCTATTCCTGCATTACTAAAAACAGTAAAATTGAGAAAAATTTATATAAAAAAAAAACTATAACGTTCTTTCTGTGCATATACTTTGTTACATTTCCAGAACTACCGTTTGTTGCACAACGATCGATTTTAAATAATGTTCAACGCGAGTATCTTAGTGCTTCTGATATTTGCATATGTTATTAACGCGCGCGATATTATTTTTGCGAATTGATTCTTTGTTTTGAAAAATAGCAGGAATTATCATAATTAGCATAATAATTAAGCGAATATAACAATGCTCGATTTCTCGACTGGTTATAATTTTGGTAAAAAATTTCCACGATTCGTCCATAAATTCGTCATGTTTGTATATAATTATAAGAAAGATATAATAATCAATTGATTGCTCTTATATCTACACGCGTTCCGGGTTGCCACCAACTCTCCACGTCCAACTGCCCAAAGTCGAACTTGCGACTTATGACTGTGATTATCACGTATACAATGGCGATAGAATGTTATATAAATTCGCCGGGTTCATCGATGTCATTGCGACTTCTATTTTTATTGTTATTGTTACGTGCGTACTTATATAATAACATTCGAGTCGCGAATCATAATGCAATTCGATAATTAATCGGGGGCATGACTTGCTGTAATTACGAATTTATTGAAAACATCGTTGCGTCGCTGACGCGATCACCGTAAATATTCTTGTTTCGTTTTCGAATATTTTGTCATCGTCGCAAAACTTTTTCGCGAAATACACCGAAGTTGCCCATGTCATAATCGACGCAATATAATCATTCTTTCTGTACATGGGGTTTCACAGGGTGTCTGACAATTCATGACACACCCATTGTGTGCAGGTAGAACTCGTGAAATTGAACGCTTCCTTTCATTTCTCAAACAAGCACATAAAATTCTGAGTTATGCGATGATAGATGAGCAGTGACTTTTGCCGCCGTGTGCTTGTACATTGGGTTAAACTAAACGAAAAAGTTCTCTACCATTTTGTAAATAGCAACGTAAATTTTTTGTTATTAATTAAAAAAGACTCATGCATGATTGTGCGCAATGATGCATCAATCTTCTTTAATTAGTCAATAAAGAGCTACATGGACATTTGCAAAATGATAGAGGACACTTTCTTGTTCTAATCCACCATTTATCTACCGTATCGCGCCAATCGCGTGATTATTCGCCAATCTTCCTTGATTAATAATTCAAAATTTTATGTGGTCGCTTGTGAAATGGTAGGGAACTTTTGCGTTCAATTTTACTGTTACGTGAGAGAGCGGACGATTACGAAGAATAAGATTCGTGGAAATTGCGCGATGCAGAAATGCGCGTTAATGTTGTTATAGTCAATAATCAGAGGAGATTTAAAGATGTTTCGATGGATAAACAGCGTAAAATTTAATGAAAACTTTGATTCCCCAAACTTTCCGGTTGTGTCCTGATCTACCAGACAAGGTCCGAGTGTTGTGATTAAATCCGCAGTACATAAACTCAGAAACGGGCGCGGACTTTACGGTAAATAAAGAATTTACTCGCAATGACGTAGGCGAACCGGCCCATTATTTACGTGAGACACCTTTTTGCGCGGCTTCACCTTCTGCCATGATTACTTCCTGTCATTATTCCTACAGTCTCCTTCTCTTTCCCTTACTAATTTCGCGTACTAAACACCCCCGCGCGCACACTACCACCACTGTCCATCAGCCGTCATTCTACGTGGGTCTTAAATCAAAGCCGTCCCGACGAAATTAGTAAATCTGAAATGGATACGTATACTGTGAATAATGATAGTCCGGATAGTGCCATTGCGGTCAGCATATTCGCAGACAGGCGCCGTGTTTTCAGTGGTTCTCATTCGGCTTTGCCTCTTTCATGCGCGCAGTCTATGCCGATTGTGGCCTCTCGAAGAACCGAGCATGTACTTTCCGGATATAATTAGGATCCTTGTGATTCCGGCGCATTTGAATCCCAGTGTTGTATAGACGCGAACAAGTGATCCTCGTGTTCATTCGCAACAATTTGGATAACGTACATCACGCGCGGAAAGAAAAAGTTTGTTTGAATTTCTGCTCTGTAGAAACTGATGTGTTAAATTTGACATTTCATGTGTCCCAAATCATCCACTCTCATTTATGTGTAAATTTAACCCAAAACAAATGTGTTAAAAAATAACATGCATAATATGTAAAAAATTAACACAAGAATTTAACATTTGAATACCGTCAGGAATTACAGTTTGTGTTAAATTAACATATGTATAATGTTAAATTAACTAAAATAAAACGTTACTTTAACATCTGAGAGAAGTATTAATCTATGGTTTTGATGAAATGAAAACGTTAAATTGACATAATCTATGTGTGACTTATTAAATACGTCAATTTAACACAACCTGTGATTCCTAACAGTATTCAAGTGTTAAATTCTTGTGTTAATTTTTTTCATATTACGTGTTACTTTTTAACACATTTGTTTTGCGTTAAATTTACACATAAATGA